AAAATTCAAAACAATAAAAGAAATGGAAAATTTAAAAACAAATGACAATAACAGCGTCCTTGACATTTCACTCATAAATATTTTTTTTTTTTTTTTTTGGAAAATAAAAATTTAGAATATACGTTTTCTTAAAAAAAATAAATGCGTGTATGAAAATGAATTTATTAAAAATATTTGTTACCTTAGTCTATGTACATACATGCTACCTGATGATATAAGGGCTACCTGATAAAATCGAAAATCTATACTATCAATTCTGTTAATTTTCATTGGCTACTTCTTGATCCGAAAAATCGGAAATTGTGGAAAATAAATATTAACACTTTACACTCGTGTGTCACACTGAAGGTGTCAATACTAATTTACTCTACACCTCGTATGTCACACTGAAGGTGTCAATACTAATTTACTATACTCTACTCTATTCGTATGTTACGCTTGAGGTAGCAATACTAATGTATATCTATAGAATATAGCACTAAATAACTGTAAAATTAATTTTGGTTATTCGAGATCTTATACAAGTTGACACCCAACAACCTTGAAAATAAATCGAGGTCTTTAAAATTGAACGCAAATTTTGCTTCGCATCTTATAAAATTTTATTAGAATTTTTCCCATTTCTCATTTCATTATTGTCCTTTCCATTTAGCAATGATTGAAATGTGGTATTTTATTTCGAAAATTGTAGGAAGTTAGGAAATGAAATTTTTTTAATTCAGCTTTTTAAAAATATCCTCTTCCGAAAGCTAGTTATTTAACTGGATTCGTAACCTAGGTTAGGTTAGGTTGCACGGCTCCCCGAAAGGTACACCTAGGCCACTAAGGCCCGTTGTGATGCTGCCGGATCCCCCTCTCTCCCTCACTAGAACCAGCTCGAGCACCTCAGAAACCGGCCAAGGTCCCTAGCATTTACATTCGCTAGTTCCGTGGCCCGCTCAAAAAAGTGGGGCTCAAGAAACCTCCGCCTGGAGTTCGCCAACGCCGGACACGAGCACAGCAGGTGGGTCACCGTTTCTTCCTCCTCCTCGTCACAGCAGCTCCTACAGAGATCGTTTGCGGGGCGGCCCATCCCCCTGGCATGATCGCCAATCAGACAGTGTCCAGTCAGTGAACATCAGACCCCTATCATCGCGCCAATATCCTCCCGTCGGAGAGATATTAGATCTCTCGTGCGACGCAAGTTTAGCTTTGGCCACAACTTCCTTTCCGCGTTACACGTAGTTCCATTCGCCCATCTAAGATTGGTACGTTCCACCGTAGCATTCACTAACACTGCGTAGCAGCAGCTTGTGAGTGCTTAGAGGCATGCCCAGGTTCTCCTTTTCAGGTAGAATTCCGAAGATTCGTAACCTAACGGGCTAATATTCCGTAGTGTTATTCCACATTTTCGTCTTATTATTCATTTGTTATACTAGGGACTCTAATATAATTAATCTTGTCCTGTGCATACCTATATATCCCTGTTTTAACACATTAAATAAAATTTGTTAGACAATTGAAATTTTTAAAATTTAATTTTAATTCTTGTATAATTTGCTTAATATACAAACTTCAATTATAAAAAAAAAATAAATTCATTTCAATTTTAATTTCAAAAAAAAATTTTTCTCTAAGTGTTTTCCTCTATTATTCATGAATTATTAGAAAATTTAAAATTTTCTTACACAATTCATTACCTAATTATTTCATAATTTTACATAATTTTTAAAAATGAGAAAACAAAATGAAAAATATCAAAATTCTTATTCCCCCACTTTTCATAAATGTAAACAAATATTTTTAAGTTTTTGTTAATAGTAAAAAAAAAAAAATTTCCTCTTTAATAAATAAACAATTATATACAATACCAATAAACAAAAACTACTAATGATTGTAAACCGCAGATGTTCTTTATAACAAATATCCGCCAATCTATCAAATCCATTTGAAGTGATCTTTCTATCTATTGAATGGACAGAATTAATTATAACGTCAAAAATGTGTAAAACGTAAAATAAAATTTTTATAATATTTTTTCACAATTTTCATTTTTTCATTTTTATTTTGCCAAAATATTATTTACTCATTTCATTGTATGTACGTAAGCAAAAAAATATCATTGATCTCATAATTTTTTTTTTTGTTAGAAAAACCAAAAACAAAAATTTTCCTAATTATTTGAAAAATGATTGCTATATGTATGTATATAAACATATGTGCTAATATACAAATATGTGTTTAAAATTAAAAATTAAATTACCTGTTGATTTTATATTTTTTTATAATGTTGTTGTTTTTCTTAAAAAATGAAAAACAAAGAAAATTTTCATGTGTTTTAACAATCAAAGAAAATTTCTATAAAATTATTGTATCAAATAAATTACAATTAGAAAAATTGTAAAGGAAATAAATTGAAAAATTAAGATTTTTTCAATAACTAATTAATAAATTGATTATTTTATTTAAAACACTTAACAATTCCCTATTAAAAATATAAAAATTTTTAATTGATAATTGCTTAATATTGTGAGTAAAAGAGAAAAATCTGTAGCAACTATTCTTACAATTGTTATTGATTATGAAGCTCAATACCCCTTGAACTCTTCAAATTGATCCTTGATCAATTCTTTGAATAATAGAATCTTAGATGATTTGGCTATGTTTCAAAATTCTCAAAATGAGAATATTACAGAAGAATAAGAATATTGGTGTTCCAGCATACGAAACGCATTTATTTATCAAATTTAAAATGTAAAACCCTGTAAAAATTTTCAAATGTGTCAAATTAAATGATTTGATATTTAATTTTGAATTTTGAAAATTTAATTGAAAAATTCGGATACAGAAGAATATGTTGGGACACCAAATTTTTCATTCCAGAGAATGTAAAATATTAATTCTATTCACATTCTCTTGAATGCTGGAAACTGGGCGAATATCAAAATATTTAAATATTTAAACACTGCCCTGGGAAGCTACTTAAATATTAATCTTGATAACTATACGAGTATGTATATAAATATTTTGGGGGAAAATTCAAGCATTAAATTTAATATCTATACGTAACATTAATATTTTGGGAGAAAACGAATCACATTGAATTTATTAAAAGTAAAATTAAATTGTTAAATTGCTTTGTATGTAATTTTAATTACGTTTATCATTTGAATGACTCAACGAATTTAGAAATTTTTTAACAAGCCGCATAATACTTCACCAATTTTCCGATTTTAATTTTAAAAATTTTGCAAAAAATTCAGTAACAACCAGATAACCAGATAAAAGTAAAATTTCATGAAAAATTTAATAATTATATTGTCTTTTAATTATTTATGCGGATTTCGAAAAATTATGGAACATCTCATCAATTTATTGAATTTATAAATTGAGGAAGGACTTGTAAATTTTTACGAGTTTAGAGTTTTAAAAACATTTTACCCCAGAAAAGTACAAAAGTAAATTATAAAAATTTTCTTTCCATTACAAATATTTGTCTCAATTCGGAATGTATAAATTATGAAATATTGAAAATATTTCACATTTAATAACAAAATTTAATTTTATAACTATGCCGGTAAGATGCAATGATACACACTTTAATAACGCGTTCATTTTATTTGGATTTAATTTGTAGCTAATTGGACTTTAATATAATCTTTCATCTAGCTCATTAATGCAATTTATCAGACTGCATAAGCAAATTTTATGAATAAATTATTATAACTCATTCAACTCATAGTAGTCTATTTAATTAATATAGCTCAATTTCAATGAGAATATTGAAAAAAATTAATTGTAAATTTATAACAAATATGAGCGAGAGCAATTCTTGAAGAAAATTTGGACACAAATAAACTTTCCATTTACAAATTTCTTACATTAACATTTTCTTAATTGAACATAAAATTTTATTTTTCTACTTTCAATTTTTGTTAATCTTTTATAAAAAAAATCTTATAATTAATTAATCATAAAATTAAAAAAAAAAGGAAAAGGATAATTACATTTTTCTTATCTTTAAATTTATTAACCATAATTTTTTGAATAATTTTCAAAATTTTTTTAATTTTTTATGTGAAAAGTTCACGAGAAAACAAAAATAAATCATAAGAAAAAAGATATTAATTAATAAACCATAATTTGGCAACTGTATATGCATAGTATGTACTTATGCAATTTAAAAAAAATTTAGAATAAAAATTGGCACAATCATAAATTATTTAAAAAGTACAAAATAGATAATAAATTTTGCACAGACACAAAACTGATTAAACTAATGAACAAGGCTTATGTAACAGCACATTTTTTTTTTTTGGCATGAATGTAAATTAAAATCTAGTTTTACAACATTTTAGATGACATTTTATTTAAAATACAAATTATTTAAGAGAGAAATTATTGAACTGATCTTGTAAAAATTCGAATTTCAAGTAAAGAGAACAAATTTTATTCATAGTTTTATTTAATTGAATGCTTTTCAATATATGATATAAAAGAATATTCAATAGCAAAAATTCTTAAACTTTCCATTTACAATAACATCTTTGTTAAATAAATTTTGCATACCTTTAGGATGACAAACAATTAAAGCTGAGCTTTATGCTTCTGATCTTTTCTTTTGCAATTAAGCTTTTTGTTCACAAAAAAAAAACCAATATCCAGAATTGAAAGCTCGTAAGCTCTTTTATTTAAAAAAATATGGTAAATATTGGACACTATATTTGAAGAAGCACTAATTTTTAATGAACAATACTCTCATTTGAATTATGTTTAAAATTTGAATTATTTCGATACTAAAGGCATTTATAGAATTCAAATTTATTTTTTATAGAATTTATTATGAAAATATTAAGGTGTTATAATTGATAGAAAATTAACCTTTCAAAATCATATCACATTTATAGTCCATACGTTTATTACGAATTTTGTACGCCTTCATTAATAAGAATTCCAAATTATCCAAATTATCATTTAAAAAAAAAAAATTGATAATATTTAAGGTCATATTTCAGGCTATACTTTATTATGGCGCACCAGTTCGGCACAATTGTGTTAAGTGTCATCGTAAGTAGCTGCACAAAATTCTTAAAATAATTTATAATTTTCCACATTCCTACCCTACGAGTAACCTGCACGAAAGGGATAATATTTTTTTAGTATCAGGCAGATGTATTTTTACTAGCATTTTAGAGGATTGTTATTAGAGATTAGGCAAATAGCCATAAATTATTATTAAAATAAATTATAATAGGTTAAATTTAGCTTTTAGTTTCAAATAAAATATAAAATAAACACTATTTTTAGAAAGACTATTTTTAGAATTATTGTAAAAGGACGGGTATTATGATTATTAATTTTAAATATTTAAATTTATTATTAAATATTTATTTATTTAAATTTATCTGATAATATCCTTCGCATTTATTTTTAATTTTTTTAAGGACAACCTTAAATCAAAAATTAGTTCATACTACTGAAATAGTCCAGTAGTTATAAACAAATACCGTCCAAGTCGAATTTGATAACTTTCTAATTTTATTCTATTTGAATTTTGCATACATTCAAAAAAATATTACCACATCTGCTTTAATTTTGCATGCTAATGTTTAACTGATAGAAATCAGGATAATGTGAGAAAATAAATTATTCTGTCATGTTTCATGGCTCTGAATTCTTAACATTAGTTGTTATTTTTTATCTCTTGCTGTTAAATAATAGAAGTCGTTTTTGGACAATATATTATTATTACCGATGCATCATAAAGTTTTATTGTTTTCACAATTATTTACTTCAGTCAATACTATGTAACATGACTTAAGTATTCTTATTCCAAATTTTATACCAGAAAAAGATAGCTATATAAATTTACCAAATTGTCAGCATATATTTTAGCTATTACAGCAATATTCTATTACTGCACAAACAAAAAACCTAACAGTGGCATATGTTCATTACATGAATACGAGTATGTCCTGTTGCAGAAACAGTGATAATATTGAAGTAAATTTTCAATGATACGCAGAAATTTTCGAAATGTCTTGTTTGTCATGTATTCATACGAAGAATATCACAAGGCCAAGTAAAAATATAGTCATAAAATCTAGCTAAATTTTATATATATGTCACAAATCAGCTATATGTATATCACAATAGAGTAAAAATATAAATAATACGTAGGCAGAAATTTTCCCAATTTTGTAATTTCAAATATAAAGTTGTAATTATACCAAAATAATAATCAAAATTTAGTTAAAATACTTTATTTTTTTAAGTTACCATTTTTTTTCGTTTTTGCTTTGCATTTAATTCAAAATTTAATCTTAATTTTCTTAAAGTAGACTTTCTTTCTCATTAAACCAAGTTTCTTTCATTAAAATCGCACAGAATCCAAAGTGATTACCTCTAAATTCCAGGCATATTTTCTGTTATACACTTACAACACTTCATTATGAAAATTTTACCATTAAAAGGTCTGCATTCGCATATAAATGCAAAATATTATAAACTATAAAATTTAATTTTATTTTTAATATACTTAAATATTTGAGATCGAAAAAATTAAATAAATTTTGTCTCAAGTAGAAACTAAACAATTATTTTTATAAAAATAGAAAAACTTCTCCAAGTAGCTATACAAATTGTTAACTTTATATACACTTATTTAGCAACTTTTATAAAACTAAGAACACCATAACACATATACCAACATAATATAAGAAAACTTTAAAGGAAAATTTTAATTAGATATAAAAAGAAAAACCACAAGAATTTTCCAATGATATACTGAAAATTTTATATTGCTTTTCTCTTTCCTTAATCTTTTTCATGTTTTTTATAAAATACATGTAAAGCAATACAAAATAAAAAAAAAATTCTTATTTGATTTAAATTTTTTTTTTATCATCACCACAGCCATCATAATTAAAAGTTTAAGTTAAAAAATATAAGAAAAGTAATCAAAGTTAAAATTTAATTTTTTGACTTTTCGAGTAAGAGAAATGTAAACTTCTTCTATAAATAATTTAATAATAATAAAATAGAAATAAAATAATTAAAATTGTAATCTATCATAGTAAAAACACTTGTTTTTAAATATTTCAATTGATCCTTCCTGAAACTTGTTGCATTGATATGAAATTTTTATTGGAATTCTCAATTCAATTGAGTAAAATTTGATTTTAAATTAATGTTGGGCAAATATAATTTAAAACTGTATTCAATAATATTATTTATTTTGTTGTAAATATTATGGGGACCCTATAGTATTTACCCTTTAATCACTAATTTTATAGGTTCTATACATACTCCAGTGGGAAGCTCAAGAGATTTTATATTATAATTGAAAATATAAATTAATAGAACGATAATGTAGGTAAATTAGTAGAATAATAGTATATACATCGATAGTACATACATATTTACAATAAGAAAACAAAAATTTAGTTTTACAGGATACAGGATCTCTCAGAAAAAAAATTGGTTGCTCGGAAATTGTATTAAATACTTTAATTTTATTAGATTATTTAAATTTTTTTTAAGTGAAATATAACCTTTGTCTTCATAATAAATTAGCATAAGATAAATTGTTAGCAATAGAATATTATTTTAAGTAATTAACATTATTTTTTGCTTAAATTAAGCCAATAGCTCCCTTTGCCCATCAATTCATTTTCGAATTAAGAGTTCTCCACGTTTTTGTTTAGAAAGCTGAATTAAATTGATATGCGTAAAATTTGATTCGTGTAAAACAACCTTTAAATTATCATCACGTTAAAGGTTAATTAAACCAACGAATTGAGAAGAGACGAAAAGTAGTCAAAGTGTTTTTAATTCGAATTTTTGTCCAAGAATGTTGAATTAAAATTAAATTGCAGCTTTTGTCTTTAAATATAAAATTTTTATAAAATTAATTTGTCTTGCGTGTATGACAGACCTACATATTTATTTTCATTCAATATGCATATAGCGATATTTTTAACAAAATTAAAATAATTTAATTTTCTAATAAAAATTTACAAGAAGAAAAAAATACCTTAAGATCTTATACTAAACCAAATTTTTTTAATTTTTCTGTCTTGACTCGTTCCTTTGATTACGTCATCTATCTGTTCTGCAGTTATATGAACTAATTTCCATTATTTATTCTTGTTATCATTGTTAATTTTTACATTAGTGTAACAGGTAAAATCCTATTTATATACGAGTATATGTCCTTGTGATTGTGTATTTCAAAAAGACTATTGTATGTTGCTGTTTAATTAGATTAAACAGTACCATGCAAACATATTGGCTATTGTATAAAGTAATATTTGAATGCAATTTCTTCATACCTTTACACATCAAATGGTAGAGCTTCCGTCTAGAAAACGGTGGAACACTGGTTCGAGTCCAGTTCTTATAAGAAATGAATAATAAATAAAATTAATACAACTACATGTTATTACTGTTAATTTGTAAAAAAAATATAATATTAACTGTAAATATATCACATACTAAATTATAGTATTATCTAATTAAGTGTATAACCTCAAACAAACATTATAAACGTTTAATGTATACCATATATAAAATTTTATTTCATTAAAAATCAAGAATAATTTTTCATGTTATACTTTTTCACTTTTACATTATTTATTCTTTATTTATATTATGTAAGAAAATATTAAGCCAAAATGTTAAGAAAAAATTATAATAAGGGAAATTAGAATATTCACCTACAGACATTCATGTATTTTCTTAAACTATGTGAGAAAAGCCAAAAAAAAAGGATTTATTTTAAAGGAGTGATAAAAAACAATCTTTGCTAAAAAATTTCTCATATTTCCTTTATACTTTTATTTTTTTAACGTGATTTTCAAGCTTTTTAAATTAAAATTTTCTAAATATTTAGACGCGTTCCTTCCCAGATTTTCTTCGACTTTATTTTATTTAACTTCGTTATTTTTGTTGTCTCAAATAAGAATGTAACATTTTTATGGGAAGAAAATTTTTGTGTGTTTGATAACTTTATGTGTACAAATTTTCTTTACAAGAGAAAACAAAATTAACTAAAAGAGATAAGAATTATTCTATTTTTAAATTTTTGGAACTTATAATATTTTTTTTTGTAAAAAATGAAATTGGAAAAAATAAATATGATAAAATTTTTCATGAGATAGAAAAAATTTTCAAGAAAATATGCAGAACTATTGTATAAGAAAACAAGTCAATTTTTCTCAATTTTTAATTTTTTGAAATGAAAATATTAAAATACTTAATATATACTGTTGTCTGTTATACTTATTTATGCTGTTGCTTTTTTATATTTTAACAACATTATAAATAAAATTTTAACATAACACAATTGTATGTATTATAACATAACAGATTTATGTAAAAGATTACGTAGGGTAAGTTAATTTTTCTATTCAACAATTTTTTTAATTTTATATTCATAAATTTTTCAATCGTCAAGAATTTGTCTGTTTGTTTATTTTTAAATTTAACTCATAAATGTTTTTCTAATAGTGACAACACTGTGATCATTAACATTGTGATTGCTTTGTTTTCCACATAATATTACGAGATTTCAGTACAAAAATTTTAAGAAAGAACAAATTACGGATGAAAAAAATACTGAAAATAAGTAGAATAATAAGTATATTTTCGCTAACATTACAAATATTGGACTGTCATTGTATACTGTCAAAAGTCGCTCAATACTAAAAAATTGTTAGCATTATTTTAGATACTTTTATTTTTGCCATATTTCGATTTTAATTGAAACGAATTTAGAGAACGAAAAGGTTTTTCTTAATATTCCCTCTTTTATTATTTTATTGTGCTCGCCATCTTGCAAATTTTGTTATATGCAAATATAATTCACCTATATATTCCATATTATCGCATATTTACCGATTACTCATTACTCACACAAAATTAAATAAATAGAAAAGATTTCTTAAACTAATTTTTTTCTATTAAATAATTGTTATACTTAACTGTTATACATAACTATTTAAAATAAAATAATATGAATATAAATAACTGTTATACTTAACTGTTATACGTAACTATTTAATGCA